GCTCCTCTCTCTCCTCTCCTCAGAGAGCCCGCACCGGCGGCCCCCGGCGTGGGACGCGCCCGCGGCGAGGAGCTGCGGCCGGCAGCCCGTGTTCCCCCTCGCCCATGGCGGGGCCGCGGGACCCCGCGGAGCGCTGCTCCTGCCGCAACACCGACTGCGTGGAGCGGCCGCTGCGGCGGCTCTTCGAAGGGCTGGCGAGCGGCGTGGCCGCCTGCCCCTGGCCCTTCGTGCTGGTGCCGCTGCTACTGTCGGGCGGGCTGGGCGCCGGGTTCCTCTTCCTGCCGCAGCGGCAGGCGAACGACATCGAGGGGCAGTTCACGCCGACGGGGGGGCCCGCCAAGGCCGAGCGCGACTTGGTGCGGCGGCACTTCCCCACCGACGACTCGCAGCGCTTCTCCGCCCCGCGGCTGCCCACCGAGGGCGCCTACGCCGCCCTCATCGCCGTCGTGACCAACGGCACCTCGGTCCTGCACCCCACGGCGTGGGCAGAGGTGCTGCGGCTGGACGAGACCGTGCGCGACGCCAACTACGAGCGGCTCTGCGCCCGCAGCAACGGCAGCTGCGCCAGCCCCAACCCGCTGCTGTCGCGGAGAGGCCATGAGCGACCGCCCGCCCCGGGGAGCCTCCAGTTCCCCGTCAACGGCAGCGTCTTCCTGGGGGCCGCGCTGGGCGGCGTGGACACGGAGGGCGAGCGGCTGCTGTCGGCGCGGGCCCTGAAGCTGGTGTATTACCTGCGGGAGGACGGCCCCGAGGCGGAGGACAGCCGGCAGTGGCTGCAGAGCTTCCTGCGGAACATCTCGTCGAAGCTGAGGGAGTTGGACCTCAGCTCCATTCAGGTAACGCAGCGGCGGGTACGGCCGTGCGGAGCCGCCGAGCCTCGAAATGTGCGGGCAGCCCCGTCGTGGAAAGGAAAGGAGACGGTGCGGGGAGAAAGCGGGTGGCTTGCGGGTTGTGAGAGCCACGGCAATGCTCTAGTGCCACGGTGATGTTTAGCCTTGCCTGTGCATGTGTGCCAAGACTAAAAAGAGAAAAAAGTGCTTCATCGTTTCTTTTCTTTTCTCTTAATGACAGGTGACTTACTTTACATCGCTGTCCAGACAACAGGAGTTTGAAGGAAATACCAAGAGCGTGATTCCGCTCTTCTCCGTAACATATTTCTTGACAATAACCTTTGCAATCGTCTCTTGCTTAAGGTAAAATGCCTTCTAAGCTATGGCTCAATGTGCAGTGACTTCTCTTCTTCACCTGCCTCTGTTATTTCCTGCTTCTGTCCAGTGAAGGCATTCTTGAAGCTCCAGATCGCGGCATTTCATAACAGGCAACATGTATTTCTTTGCTCTTTCTTGTCTACCTATGCATGTTTCTCACCTGTTTAGACAGGGGTCATGGTAAGTACCAGATGAATACCTGAACAAACGTTCAGTGCAAACATAACCAACTTGAACGCTCACCTCCTAGAGAAATTAATCTTGTGCAGTGTTGACACCTCAGAGCTCTCCCAGCAACTTTCATGAGTTGTTCTCTTCAGACAGGGTATTGTTGGCATCTGTGCAGTATTTGACACATAACTAAGATACTCCTTGAAATATTTTCAGACTGAGCTGTATAAGAAATAACGTCTGGCTTGCCTGCTGTGGAGTGGTTTCTGCCGGCTTAGCTGTGTTAAGCAGCTTTGGATTGATGCTCTTTTGTGGAGCGCCGTTTGTGGTCACTGTAGCAAATGCACCATTCCTGATTCTGGGTAAGTAGAAAAGTGAGTCTGAGTCAGATACGAAGTTAAAACAACCTAATGGTGTCAGTCTTTTCTGATGTGAGCATCAGATCATACAACATTCTGTGCTGCAGTGAGGGGAGGAGATACTCTAAGAGGTGCAACCCCCTTAGAGCTCCTACAGGCAGGTGAGCCCCTCAGCTCAGCTCAGCTCAGCTCAGCTCAGCTCAGCTCAGCTGTGTTCTGGAGCAAGGGCAGCTTTTCCCAGAAAACAGTGCTTGCTCTAGTTCCACTGCTATGGCATGAAAACTATAAATCAGAGAGTGGTAAGGTTAGCACTTCTGGCATTGTTGTAGTGTCCCTAGTGCTCTCCCTTTGTGCTGGTGGCAGAGGAAGAAGTTATTGGTCTAAGTTGCTACAGTGATGAGGGTGAAGGATTATCAAGCCACCAGGTCACCAAGAGTTTCTGAAAGGTAATACACACAAAGGATCTGTTTTCCTGATTCTCTTGTAACTTGCATCACCACTAAAGCAATGTTAATAGCCCAACTTTCTTTTTCAAAATTTTATGCAGACTTAGATGTCATTAATGTTGTAGTTTTGTTGGGTGTAAGTGGAAGCCGCCATTTGCAATGCAGTTAACCTTTTCTCCTCTTGCAGGAGTTGGCGTTGATGACATGTTCATCATGATCGCTTCCTGGGAACAAAGTTCAAGGAAAAAAGAGAAATCCAATGTTAAATCTCTGCTGGCTGAGACTTACTCAGAGGCAGCACTTTCCGTGACCATCACCACTCTCACGGATGTTTTGGCCTTCTTCATTGGCACCTGGACTGCTTTTCCATCCGTGAGAGCTTTTTGTCTCTATACTGGCACTGCTTTTGTCTTCTGTTATGTATATACCATGACCTTCTTTGGGGCAGTTCTTGTATTAAATCATAAAAGGGAGCAAGGAAACCGACACTGGCTGACTTGTATGCGTGTGGGAGTAGATCAAGATCAGGCTGAGAAGTCCTGCTTGTACAATGCTTGCTGTATCGGCAGCTGTTCCAGGCAGTCCTCTGA